TTTAATAGTGAAAACAGGGGATGACAACAAGGCTTTTACGTTGTGTTCTTTTTTATGCCCCCGCCGTAGCAGAGGGGGCATTAAGTTTTACCCTTGTCCGTCTGTACGTACGTCTGTCTGTCAGTCCATCTGTCCGTTCGTACCTCCCAAAATTGGTTTCCGTTCTCTAACTTTAGTTTGCCTCAATCAAATGTTATGAAACTTATACACAATACTTATTAACACAAAACACAGGTCAAGTATGAATGTGGGTGGCGTCAATTTTACCTTTCTAGAGTTATGCTCCTTTACAAATGGAAAAATTGCTTAATTTTTTGTTTCCGTTCTCTAACTTTAGTTTGCCTCAACCAAATGTTTTGAAACTTATACACAATGCTTATTACCACAAAACACAGATCAACTTTGAATTTTGGTGGCGTCACTTTAACGGTTCTTGAGTTATGCCCCTTTTCAAATGGAAAAATTGCTGAATTTTATGTTTCCGTTCTCTAACTTCAGTTTGCCTCAACTAAATGTTATGAAACTTATACACAATACTTATTACCACAAAACTCAGATCAAGTACAAATTTGGGTAGCATCACTCTTACAGTTCTTGAGTTATGTACTTTATAACGTTATATGCAAGCGGGGGCATCATCTGTGTCCCATGAACACATTCCCCATTTTTTCTGCTAGTTTCTCCCCCGTAACAAGACTATCTCCAGATACAAGACTTCCATAGATTAAACTTTGCATATACATTTAAAAAATTAAACAACTTCAGGATATAATTACTCAGTATGGCTCTTGTGTCCTGTCAGCCAGCATGGACAGTGTATTCTGATCTTTTCATTATTTGTTTGGAATATCTGGGCAAAAGTTTTTAAAAGAAATGATTCCTGAATGTAACAATTTCCCACTTTTTTTATCTTGATAATTAAATTCTGTTCCCCTTGAAAGCACATGATCGTTTACAATATGACTTAAAACCACCAACATTATCCAGACAATAATACACCATCATACCACATTTCCTTATTTTTACATAATGTACCCCCTAAAACAAAAACAAAATTTTAGACAATCCAACATAATGTTATCAAATGAAAATTAAATTTGTTTTAGACTAGCAAAATTGAAACCATCACAAACACTAAAGCAATTGATCTTTTCTAATAATACTTCATCCTGCATTACAGTAAATGCTACAGGAACTTTATCATTTGACAATTTTAGTTTTGAAAGTAAACAGGATAAACAAATCACAGGCCTGCAATTTTGAAGGTGTCATCTATTACTGTATAACTTTCAAGATTTCATTAAAAGTAAATTCACATATTCATATATTGCAAAATACATAGTTGGTCATAATATTATTACTGCAGAGAAACTAGATTTCACTAATGTAATTAAGTCTTAAAGATAAAGCATGTCACATGTTAAAGTTGGACTGCAAACTATTATTCAGCGGATGAGATCAATTAATATTAATGTAAAATGATGTCATGACAATTTTTAAGGGAAAACATTTTTTTTAGAGCTTATAGCTTGAAGCTCTTGGAAGATTATACAAGATGTAATTACAAGATTCAGTCAAGGTCAGATTGAGGAGTGCCATGAGAAAAAAGAATTTGAGAATTTTTCAGACAGAAATGGATTTGTTGTTAACATAACCAAACATTAGTCTTTCAGAAGTAAGCAAGGCTTATATGCATAAAGCCTTTTTCTCATTCGTTGTTCATTATATTGACTTTAGGCTCGAAGTTAAGAACAGTAGAAAAACAGGAAAATTCAGTTAGCAAAACTAAAATATTCCTAAATATCACAGAGGTTTACATGAAACTCAGTTTACAGTCATCTGATTTGATAAACATCAATAAAAACCAGAGACTTTATCATCACAGAAAGAAGTTAATTTTGTTATATCAGATTTGAAGATTTTGTTTAATCTCATTCAAATATAATCTTGAAAAAGTTTACATATAGATTATTGTTCTGACTAGTAAGTTCTATTTCTATATGCTGGAAATGAACAAACTGTGAAATGTGGTTAATTATATGTATATACTATAGTAGCAATGACGTTTTGGAATTAACAAGTTCAAAATATCACAGATTCTGTAAATTAATGGGAAAGACACAAAGTTGTAAATAGCCCCTTCTGATCATTTATGACGTTGGTGTTTTTGTGTAATTTTTGTAAGTTGTTGACTTTTCCGATGAATATTAAAAACGGTAAGTTTTTTCTTTCTTATTTCCCTGTTTCAGTAAAGAAATGAAGAATAGAAGAATACTCTGTTGCTAGATATTTTGCATACACAACGGTGGACTAATTAAAAAACTTAAATATATGACAATTTATTATGTGAATAAAGCATTATTTATATTTTGGAGTTAATACTTTGGTTTTACTGCAGTGGTACAGGTATATATTTAAAAAACAAGCCCTCTGCTGAAACCAGAGTAAAAACAGAGACCATTTTTATGCCCCCGCTGTACGTACGTACGTCCCAAAGTTGGTTTCTGTTGCCTTTACCAAATGTTATGAAACCTATACACAATGCTTATTACCACAAAACACAGATCAAGTTTGAATGTGGGTGGCGTCAATTTTACCGTTCTAGAGTTATGCCCCTATACAAATGGAAAAATTGCTGAATTTTTATGCCCCTGCCGTATCGGAGGGGGCATTAAGTTTTACCCTTGTCTGTCCATACGTACGTACATACGTCCCAAAGTTGGTTTCCGTTCTCTAACTTTAATTTGTCTCAACCAAATGTTATGAAACTCATACAAAATGCTTATTACCACAAAACACAGATCAAGTTTGAATTTTGGTGGCTTCACATTAACCGTTCTAGAGTTATGCCTCTTTACAAATGGAAAAATTGCTGAATTTTTCGTTTCCGTTCTCTAACTTTAGTTTGCCTCAACCAAATGTAATGAAACTTATACACAATGCTTATTACCGCAATTCACAGATCAAGTTTGAATTTTGATGGCGTCACTTTAACCGTTCTAGAGTTATACCCTTTTACAAATGGAATAAAATGCTTCGCTAAGCACAGCCTGATAGGACCGCAGAGGTTGAAACCCTGAACAGTTGGGGCAAATTTGGACACAATATTCAAGCTTGATACTGTCTGAATTTGGATTGTGATCAAATTTTTGACATAATATAGGTTTCTGACACAAAATAAATGTGGTCAAAGATCTTATAAATCCAATGCGCAATACTGTGCAATTGAAGATTTCGAAATTTTTAAAATTTTGAAGAAAAAAATATGAATCCCTTAAAAAAATTTGAAAAAATCCCTCCCCCCCCCTCCCCAACTTTTTTGAAACCCTCCTTGGAGCAATAACCCAAAAACTCAATCTTATCCTTTCCTTTGTAGTATGGAACCTTGTAGTACAATTTCAGAGAGATCCATACACTTACACACAAGTTATTGTCTGGAAACTAGAAAAACGCTTGTTTTTGGACCCTTTTTGGCCCTTAAATTCCTTAACAAATTCCTATACTGTTGGCCCCCATAACCCCTAAAACAAATCCCAACCTTCTACTTGTGGTATTAAACATTGTGGTACAATTTGAGAGCAATCAAAATACTTATACACAAGTTATTATCCTGAAACTAGAAAAATGCTTGTTTTGGGCCCCCTTTGGGCGGTTGGGACCATCATCCCCAAAATCCATCCTAACCTTCCTTTTGTGGTATTGAACCTTTTGGTAAAATTTCATAGAGATCCATTCACTTAAACTAAAGTTATTGTTCGGAAACCAATGTGTATTCGGACGACGACGCAGACGACGACATCATATTATTATATGATCCTAAATATTTTTTGCGGTCGTATAAAAATTGCTGAATTTTATGTTTCCGTTCTCTAACTTTAGTTTGCCTCAACCAAATGTTATGCTTATTACCACAAAATACAGATCAAGTTTGAAATTTGGTGGTGTCACTTTTACCGTTCTAGAGTTACGCCCCTTTACAATGGAAAAATTGCTGAATTTTTCGTTTCCGTTCTCGAACTTAAGTTTGCCTCAACCAAATTTTATGAAACTTATACACAATACTTATTACCACAAAACTCAGATCAAGTACACATTTGGGTAGCATTACTTTTACCGTTCTTCAGTAATGTCCCTTTTTAACTTTATATGATATGCAAGCGGGGGCATTATCTGTGTCCCATGTACACATTCCCCATTTATTCTCATATGCATGTTGTTGTTTGTGTTTTCTATGGTAATGATAATTAGATGTAATTTTAATCTTCACTGAATGTACCTATGTATTGATACAAATGACTTAATTGACATTGCTCATTGTGTCTACTTTGGTGGGTTTTGATATATTTTTGAAATTTTACTCAGATTATTGGTAATATATTTATCCCCCCTCCTCGAAATTTGTCATACATAATACATAAAGTATACCACATGCAGCGGATGGATTTAAAGAATAACTAATGTTAATAAAGAAAGCTGTAAATGACCTTTTAACTGGTGAGAAATGACAACAGTAAATATTCTAGTATTTATTATCTTGACAAACTGTTTTTACTAGTGTGTTAGGTGTGATAAAAAAAAGGATTGCTGTATATTATTTTATATGGAGGATATATTTAGATTTGGTGGAAACATTGAGAATAGTGGAATTTGAATCTATAAAACAGTTGTTTAACAATGGAATCTAAAGGCCTGTTTAGTTTTTCTTGTCTAGACTTGAATTGCTTAAGTTCAAATAGTTTTAGTTGAGACTTAATGAATAGAAAGTCAAATAGAACTGAAAACTAGTGATTGAAATTATTTTTAAAACAAGCCAGTCAATCATCAGATCATTTACTAGAGAAATTTTGGTATCTTATTTATATTTAATTTACTATTCCTTTCAAATATAGATATTGTTGTACTGGTTATAGCTTTGCTGAATAAAATTTATCTATATAAAGTAATAAATTATTATTTCAATTTGCATAGTATTTATGGATTGATCTGTATTTTCCATTCAGATATAAACCAGTCTCCACTGGGGTCTCCTATATTAGAGCGTAGACATCCATCTGCCAATATGTACAGTAATGACCAACTCCAGCAACAGATAGCATCACTAAAACAACAACAAGAATTTCAGCAACGTCTTCTTGTTGAACAATTCAGACAACAGCAGCAACAGATGGCACAAGAACACGAGAAACAGTTGCAAGAACACATTAAAGTGCAACAGGTACAGGAACACATTAAAATGCAACAGGTACAAGAACATGTTAATTAAACGGTGTTTATTATAAAATGTCACCTTGTAGTATTCCTTTTCCTGTTATATGGTGAAAGTTGTCCTATAAAAGTTGTCACTTGATGTATGCTGTATTTCTGTTGTTACTAATGAGTATCCTCTGATTATTACTCTATGAAGTTCATGGAGTATGTATTTGTTCCTTGGTTTACAACATGATGGCATATTTCACAGTGACCTATATAGTTGCTTACATCCAAATCGTTTGGTCTCTGTTGGAGAATGGTCTCATTGACAATCATACTTCTCCTTATTTTAACATTTGCCAGTCTTGACAAAAATTTGAACTTAAATTTCTGAAAGAAATATTCAGAACTGACATACATTATAAATTATGAAGATCTGTAGTTCTGTTCTTCAGTCAATAATAATTAGCAAGTTATCATTTGAATACCTGTCAGATACAAGAAAGTTTCAACCTAGTTCTTTACCTGGGCAATTTACCTGTGTTTTAAATACCAAGCAAGTGGTCATTGTCTTAATTTTCTGTACAAAATAAATGATTGCAGTGAATGCAAAGTATATTTTTTAACTTCTGAAGATTAAACGTACCAAAAAATCATTGTTTTCTTAAACAGGTTGAAAGTTCTGTTTATGAAAACACTTATTTAATTACCTGAAATTTATTCCTCTTATGTACACATTCCAATATTATTTTACTAAGAACAAATGTGATTACCAAGAACAATACTAATTTATCAAACATTAACAGTACCTAGCTACTGCATCACAAAACAAAGATTGGTAAACTACAAAATGATTTTTTTTTTTTTCCAAATTGCAAAATTGTTGGAACTGAACTGTTCTGACTTCCTAGGTGAACATGAATATGAAAACTGAATATTAAACTTCAAAAAATGACTGAAGTTGTGTGAAAAAAAAACACCTTTTTTGTTGGAATGTGTCTGTACTTTATTTATCTGGTTTACGATGGTTTATTGTTAAATAAGAGTTTATTCAAGTTAACAATTACTTGGTTATTGACTGTCTTATAAATCCTGTAGGCGAAAATAATTAATCATCATAAGTAGGAAAAGTTCCTGATGAGATGGAAAAATAAAACTTGTTAGCAATCCCCCTTGCTTCCTATTGTTTGCCAAGATTTCTTTCCTAAAATAGTACAATTATACCAAAGCTTCTTTGGAAGCCATCGATCCGTTGTTAAATATAGCATTGCTGAAGGCAATAAAACATTATTCCATCTTCCAATGGTAGAAGATGTTTCTATATTTTTGTCTCCTAATTGATTTTGTAGAGCTTCTCAAATTGATGGAAATCTATTTATTGTATGATGTTACTATAAATAGGGTTATTTGTTGTAGAAAAAATTGACTTTTTGATTGACAGGGTAGTTTTAATTCTAAAAGTGTTGTGCTATTACTTTTGTAGTTAGAAGGGAATCGATTGAATTTCTTTGTAGATTTATGATGAAATCTTGTTTATGGTATTGGTGAAGATGATTCATTTTGAACTAAGACCTTCTCCTTAAAAAGTTTACTTTAATATAACCTTCATGTGTATATGTTTTTAATCGAAATATATTCATAACATATGTATACATAAAAAGCTGTAACAAGCACATTTTCACTTTCTGAAAAATAGTACTGTTATTGTATTTATTTCTTGGAAAAAAATGTATTGTACTAGTTTAATTGAAATTTAGAACTAAAGATCAAAAATAGGATGTGCATTTATAAAAATTAAATGAAAATGTTCCTGATTGAATAAAATCAAATGTCCCGTTCTGTTTTATATTCCAACATATTTTGCTGTTGTATTATAGTGTGTAAATGTTATAAGGCAATACAAATATATGTGTGTTAACAGTCCCAAACCATGACCATATTTATGCATACCAACCCTAAAGTATTTTTATATGGACTTTTCACCACCATATCAGTTGTAACAGCTAACTGTTTTAATTTACATATGCACCAGAATTCCACCAAAAAACTGACCTATTAAGTCTATAACTTTTAGGAAGGAACCCTTAAGCACACATAAATGTTTGCCTTATTTGTGTGAGTTATGTTTGTCTATCTGTAGTGTGTAGACTCATCAATGGTCTGTATTATCTATCTGTAGTGTGTTACAACACAATTTGTTTCACAACTATGGGTCTGTTATCAGCTTTATTCAACTGTAAAGAAAAGAAAGAAAAAAATTCAATAAAGGTTAAATTGTTTTAAATACATCCAAGAATTTGTATATGCAAATCCTTGGTCCATCCTTATAAAATTTTTCCTATTTGGGAATGTATTCAAAATGAAAAAAGCCAAAACAGGTTAAAAAAGTGTTTCATGTTTACATATGTTTTTAATTAAGAAGTTGATTTTAAGTCAAGGGAATTCCCTCCAAATAATTTGTAAAGAGGGTGACTCAAAAGATTTTTCCTGTGTATCATTAGGGCTCTGGATTAATTGGTGATGAAAGTTTAGCAATTTGATTTTGAGATTTGGGACTTAAGGATCCAAACATGAATTTTTTCCAGTATGGATGGCATTTTAATTCTTTTTAGAGTTATCTTAATAAGAGATTTTAGTTGTATGGCAACAAATATTGCACTTGCCACTTAGAAACTTTAAAGCAATAATTGTGGCTGATTGTAATTTATTAAATGGCGCAAAAAAATTACTGTACCCAGCCTATTACAATGTTCATAGTCACTTTTGATACACAATTGTTCAAACTACCCATGCCAAAATTTAGTGTCATATCTAGCGGCTTTTGGCATGACTCTTCTTAGAAATTATTTCAGCCTCATCAAATTTTTAATGTCAACAGTAAATTTAATTTACCATTGTATTTGATCATCATTTATACTTTAAATTAGTTTTGTAGTTTAAGAAATGATTAGCGAAATTGAATTTACAAGTGTAATGAAATTTATATTATCAAAGTTGATTTCCTTATGAATTTTTTTGGTAATGGCTGTTTCGCACCTATTAATTGAAGTAAGACAGACTGTCAACATATATTTATTCCCCCTAACAGAAGTTCCCCTGGAAACTTAATTATAAAGAATGCCATAATATCTGTTCTTGTTCAAACAAACATTCTATGCCCTTTATTAGTCCCCTACCGACAAAGTGGAAGGGGACTTTAGGTTTGCACTCCGTCCTTCTGTCTGTCCATCTGTCAGTCCAGTAAATCAGTTTTCCACACTTTTTTTTTCGTTCATGAAGATATTGATTTGATATTTGGTGTATTGTTTTATCATGACAAGTTACAGATCAAGTTTGAATTTTGTTCAGGTCTAATCATTTTGTGCAGAGTTATGGTCCTTGGACTTAGAAAATTCCCTCAAATAATCAGTTTTCCTCACTTTTTTTTGTCATGCTTGAAGATATTGATTTGATAATTGTTATATACTTTTATCATGACAAGTTACAGATCAAGTTCGAACTGGTAGGGGACTATGTAATGCCATGCAATACTCACAGAATGCTTGTTGTATTTTAATCTCAAATGTTCTTGTTCCAGCATTTAGTGATGTTACAAAAACAGCAAGAATTCCTTCAAGAACAACAAAAACTTCAAGAAAGACATCGCCTGGAGAAAGAACGCATGGAGAAAGAACGTTTAGAACAACTAAAGAATAAAACAAAGAATGAAGAAAGTAAGTGTCTGGATGCTGAAAACACAAACATCTTCTTGTAAAAATTTGCGGTCGTATATTGGTATGACGTTGGCGTCGTCTTCGTCCGAAGACACATTGGTTTTCGCACTCTTACTTTAGTTTAAGTGAATGGATCTCTTTGAAATTTTACCATAAGGTTCAATACCACAAAAGGAAGGTTGGGATTAATTTTGGGGGTTATGGTACCAACAGTTAAGGAATAAGGGGCCAAAAATAAGTATTTTTGTAACTTCCAGACATAACTTGTGTGTTAGTGTATGGATCTCTCTGACATTGTACCACAAGGTTCCATATCACAAAAGGAATGCTGGAATTGATTTTGGGGGTAATTGCCTCAAAATTTTAGGAATAAGGGGCAAAAAAGGGGCAAAAAACAAGCATTTTTCTAGTTTCATGACAATAACTTGTGTGTAAGTGTATGGATCTTTCTGAAATTGTACTACAAGGTTCCATATCACAAAGGAAAAGCTGGAATTGAGTTTGGGGGTAATTGCCCAAATCGTTGAGGATTAAGGGGCCAAAAATAAGCATTTTTCTAGTTTCCAGACAATAACTTGTGTTCAAGTGTATGGATCTCTCTGAAATTGTACTGCAAGGTACCATACCACAAAGGGAAGACTGGGATTGATTTTGGGGGTAATTGCCTCAAAATTTTAGGATTTAGGGGCCAAAAAGGGGGAAAAACAAGCGTTTTTCTAGTTTCAGGACAATAACTTGTGTGTAAGTGTATGGATCTTTATGAAATTGTACTACAAGGTTTCATATCTCAAAGGGAAAGCTGGGTTAGAGTTTGGGGGTAATTGCCCTAAACGTTTAGGAATTTGGGGCCAAAAAGGGGCCAAAAAACAAGCATTTTTCTAGTTTCCAGACAATAACTTGTGTTCAAGTGTATGGATCTCTCTGAAATTGTACTGCAAGGTACCATACCACAAAGGGAAGACTGGGATTGATTTTGGGGGTAATTGCCTCAAAATTTTAGGATTTAGGGGCCAAAAAGGGGGGAAAACAAGCGTTTTTCTAGTTTCAGGACAATAACTTGTGTGTAAGTGTATGGATCTTTATGAAATTGTACTACAAGGTTTCATATCACAAAGGGAAAGCTGGGTTAGAGTTTGGGGGTAATTGCCCTAAACGTTTAGGAATTTGGGGCCAAAAAGGGGCCAAAAAACAAGCATTTTTCTAGTTTCCAGACAATAACTTGTGTTCAAGTGTATGGATCTCTCTGAAATTGTACTGCAAGGTACCATACCACAAAGGGAAGGCTGGGATTGAGTTTGGGGGTGATGAATCATAAGGGGGTTCAAAAAATTGGGGGGGGGGGGGGGGCCTTTTTTTTCTTTTAAAATTTTCCATTTTAAATTGGTTATTTCTGATTTATATATAAAAGCAAATAATAATGATATGGTTTGAATAGGTAAATTAAAATTTTTTAAGTTCCTAAACCACATTCATTCTGTGTCAGAAACCTATGCTGTGTCAAATATTTAATCACAATCCAAATTCAGTGCTGTATCAAGCTTGAATGTTGTGTCCATACTTGCCCCAACTATTCAGGGTTCGACCTCTGCGGTCGTATCAAGCTGCGCCCAGCGGAGCATTTTATTATTTTTATTACTTTCATTTTGTCTTTTCCTTGTCTTCAGTTTCAGAATTGAAATGAACCTGATGTTTTGCAGAGTTCATTTACAGCAATTAATCTGGACAACTGATAAAAATAAAATATTTAGAAAAGCCATGATAGAGTTGGATACATTTTTTGTACTTCAGAAAACAATGTAATGAAAAACAAAGAATATAAGAAAACACTAAAAAAAGAATTTCAGTTATGTCCCTCTTAGTGAATTATTAGACTAAATAAGAAAGTAAATTAAATTGATTCTATAAATGTCCTTTCTTTAGAATATAAATAATATAAAAATTACAGTCGTGATTGACATTATCCTGAAATAGACGTTACAGTCGTAATGGCATTACTTCAGATTTAGTCTGATAAAAATAACTTACTGATTGGCCATTAGAGATACAAGAGATACATCTTTATAAATGATTTTGTTGCAATTCTATTTGTAGATATATTTGATTTTTATAAGCTATTTTAATGGATATCTTTGTTTCTGTAGTTATATGGTTTGTTTTATTATTATGAGTTTTTGAAGTGGAACAGAAATAGATAATTTATAGATAGATATATTTAGAAACCCTTGAAACATTAGTGGTAAAATGGATAATATCCTACTCTCTGTAAGCAAATTTTTATAATTAGAAGACATTGCTAAAGAATTTTATATCCTGTTAAATTATTGTCTGTTTTTAGAAATTGGTTGATTTTATGTTTATTTGGTTTTTATTTTCAGTATTCCAACAGTATTTTGTTTATCTTTTTCTCATTGCTGCAGATTTATAAAAAACTTATCGTTTTGCTTTTTACCTGACCCTTGTTTCATTTTGAAATGTTTTTCTGCATTGTTGTACTAATGCCTTTATAGATTAGTAACTGTTTCAATGTTTGTTTTTTTATACTTTTTGCATAATGCAAGGGTTGGTAATGTTTTGATATGTGTGCCTGCCCATCCATCTGTCTATTCATTCCACTCCAAGTTAATTTATCTGTTAAGTATAAGGTTAAAGGTAGTTAAGTGTCACCACTGAAGACATCAAGATTTGAACTGTACAAAATTAAATGTCCAATGGATGGTGGAATCTTGATTTCATTGATATTGTTGCAAGGAAAAATTCTGCCCCAACCCAATTTGTCCTCATTTTCTAGTGGCAGTCCAAATTTCCAGCCCTTAATTTCTGGTGTCCTACAATGCAGAACCTACCTATTTTATTAGTTTGTTCTCTTCTTGAATATGCATGAAATATTTGCCACTTGATGTTAAGCAAGAGTCAATCACGTTGAAGATATGACCTTTTTAAAATTTTGATGCAATAGGATGAGACTTCAATTTCATTCTTTAGCAAACTATTTGAGGATGTTTCTAATTGATATACATTCAAAAGTATGCCTACTGTTTAGTCTCAAAACAAAAGAGATTCAGCACAATAATTTTCCAAGCATAAAATTTTATACCACTTAAAGGTTCATAATCATAATCATAAATCATAATTTTTGTTATACCCCCGCTTTAAAAAAGTGGGGGTATACTGTTTTACCTCTGTCTGTCCGTCCATCCATCCGTCCATCCATCCATCCATCCATCCGTCAGTCTGTCAGTCAGTCAGTCCATCCCATGAAAATTTTTCGTCACATCTTTCTCAGGAACTACAATACAAGGATTTCTGAAATTTGGTTTCAGGGTTTATATAAGTCAGCTATACCGTGTGATGCGTTTTCAGATTGATCACTCAACAACTTCCTGTTTACTGTCAAATATTTGGGCTGGGGGTATCATCAGTAAGCAGTAGTTCGCAGTTTCACTTGTTTCATCTGCGACAAAAAAGGAATGCATAGACTTCAACGATAGATACTTCTTGCTGCTGCATTCTTCTAACCTCTGTTATGTTCTTATTTGTAGGTGCTGTGGCCTCCTCTGAAGTCAAACTACGGTTGCAAGAATTTGTTTTAACAAAGAAACATAGAGAAGCTGCAGCCAGAAATTCTCCTCCATTCCATAATTGGTTTGTATAATATATATTACTTCTGGCTAGTTCTTGGTTTTAAGTTTTACTGTCAAAATATGAAGCAGCTATATATGACATGAGAATTGTTTATTAAATGATTCTTCTACAAAATAATAATTCCGATGAATTTAGCTAAAAAAGAAATAAATTGTAGCAACATGGAAATAAATAGATATGAGACAGTTCAAATGTAAAAAAAAAAAAAAACTGTGTGTATGGTGGGTTAGCCATGGTTACTTATGGGAACCCCTGCCCAATCTTTCGAAGGGTTTATGAAATTTTTTTTTTCCCCCATCTTTTTTGGGGCAATATTATTGATGTGTCCTAGTCAGGTCATTTACCCCTAGTGCAAGTTTTTATTAATTACAATATTGCTTTCAAGAAGGAAAACTTTGCTTTGTAATTTTGTATAAGATGACGACTCGAGATTGCCTTTATGGATTGTAACACATTTGATACAGGAGAAAAATAATCCATATAGGTAAATGTTTTCTCTACTACTTAAACCATAGTTCCTTGAAATACAGGACAAACCATACATGGTGCTCATTCTTGCTTTCTCTCAATAAACATGTAGTACAGGGACCAGATACGGATCCAGGATTTTGAAAAAAGGGGGACCCAGGGCCCCCAAATTAGGTAAAGATTGGAGTGAAACATGTAAAAAGTCTATACATTAACCATATATGTAGCTCCATAAAGGGGTGGGCACCCTGAGCCTCCTCTTAATCCGCCACTGGGGAGCGTCTGTTGGCAGTTCCAACTTTTTACAAGTTTTATGCTCCCCGCAAATATTTCACAGAAACGCACAGGAATCACTTTGTCCATCTGTCCATCTTTCTGTCCTTTTGTCGGTTCATGTGTCAGAAGGTTTCTGAATGATAACTTGAGTATCCCTTGATTGATTGGAATGAAACTTATACATATGAAAGATATAGGAAAGGGCAAGAAGCCTGTTGATGTTGGGGTTAAAGGTTAAGGTCACCATTACTAAAAATGAGAAAACAAATGAACAATGGTTTCCTGATGCTTGATAAGAATGAAAATTGTACAGATGAAAGGTATAGGGGAGGAGAAGAAATATTATATGTATTTTATAATATGTCAATTATATACAATAGTTCACCATTGTATAATCTGTTAATTATATACAATAGTTCACCATTGTATAATCTGTTAATTATATACAATAGTTCACCATTGTATAATCTGTTAATTATATACAATAGTTCACCATTGTATAATCTGTTAATTATATACAATAGTTCACTAAGTATATTAGAAATTAACTTAATTGATTAGCACACATCAAAGACATAACACACAAATCACCAAAAAAGTAAAAAAAATCTTTGTTTGGCCAAGCATACTATCTCAGATTGTGTAGGGAAGTTTGAAAGTGTGTCATAAAAAATAGATCTTCTACATGCAGGAGTATAATGTAAGTTACTGGCTCTCTCTGACCTACATTACATGTTTCATAGACTTGCATTATATTTTACATTTGATTTGGTGTGATGATGCAGTCAAGACAGTATAATACTCTTCCACTCAAAGTTGGTCACTCTGACCTGTATTTTACTTAACTGTCACAAGTTAATTTTGAACATTTCAGTCCTTTTCACATTAAAGCTTAATTTCAATTCCATAACTAGTTAAAAACAGTGATGGAGAAGATACCAAGGGGCAAGAAAAAACATTAAGTTGAGGATAGATAGACAAATTATGGGTAAAAGAAAAGAGACCAACAGACAGACAACAGTCCACAACACAAAAAAAAATCTAACAATTGAGCTTTTCAAACTCCCCAAAACACCGGGTGAACCCCCATGCTCCAGAAAGGTCAGCAGGTCCTGCTGCACAAGATTTATATAACTTCAACAAACTAAGTTTGGGATGTTGAATTCTTTTGTAATCTTTGATTGCCCATTTTTTTTATAAGGTCAATAGGTAATAGGTAAGCTTAATGTTTCTATGTTTTCTTTGTAACTTGAACATAGCCAGGTGACCTTGACTTCTTTTGATTGTTGATTCACTGATAAATGTCTGTGATTCAACCTGTTTAGAAGTGGTGTTTGTACTAGATCTAGTATCTGTTGTTTGTAAGTTTACCATAATAGAAAAACAAAGGTCATTTTGTGAGACTGGTAATTTTAGTTTGATCTGGAAATCATGACTTTCAGTTATTTTTAGCCATAATACATTTCTTGATTTTTTTAATATATAAAATTTAATGATTAAAATTGATTTTAATCTAGTGTATCTTTTATTAACTTCCCTATTTCTAGAATAATAAATACTATTAGAATCTGTAAGCACATCATGATTTATGAGATATATATGAATTAAACAGATGTGTTTTAAATAGGATAAAGTTATAATAGGCTTATATTTAGTAATTTAATTTTAAGGAGTTTGAATGATAACTGAATTTGAATATTTACACAAGTGAAAGATGTACTTCTAATTCAAATAAAATATGTTTGACAAATAGACTATTTTGCTGTATATATATATAAATAAAAGCAATAAAATGCAAATTTACACAAGTGTCTACTTTTAATGCCCCATTTATGGGCATTATGTTTTTCGGTCTGTTCGTTCGTTCTTGCGTCCATTCGTCCGCCCGTCCGTCCGTCTGTCTCGCTTCAGGTTAAATTTTTTGATTAATTTGAAGTCCAATCAACTTGAAACTTAGTACACATGTTCCCTATGATATGATCTTTCTAATTTTAATGCCAAATTAGATTTTTGACCCCAATTTCATGGTCCACTGAACATAGAAAATGATAGTGCGAGTGGGGCATCCGTGTACTATGGACACATTCTTGTTTAAAATTCTAATGTGAGGGTTCCCACATTGAACATATTTAACAGTTTTATCCCCTATATTTGATTGATTAGATACAGACAAAAGTTTACATTTTGTATTTATTTTGTAGATATATCTTTATTTACTTTATAGTTTCACATCTTTGATTTTGAATCCATACTGAATTTAAGAAAAATGGGTTTTGTCTGACCTCCAAACAACCCAAGATTCTGTAATGAGGAGTACCTAAATTACACAAATGCATAACTTCACATCTGTAAAAATCAAACAACTGATGTTTTATTTTATTTCTCAACACTTTTAGAACAATTTGACAATAGGCCATACTTAATAATACTACGAACTTTTTCATACCTGTGACATATTTTTACTGCTCATTTTTAAAAGTTTACTTTTTGTGGAATTTTACTTTTTTCACTGGACACTTCAACTGTTGATAAATTATGTGACCCTTTTGTGTATATTTTAGTAAGTTTAGCAAAGTTGACAGACGTGCATAATTGCAAGTTCTAGAAATATGAATTGTTAAGTCCCTAAGAAAACCTATACCATTTCCACCACTTTGTTTTGTAAAATGGGTGCAATTTGGGTACTGTGAGATGAAACTTAATCAGATTGACTTAGAAAATCAACATAGTTTTAGGAAACACCTATGATATCACCACTCCATAGTCAATAAAAACTTGAAAGAAAATATTCTCACATCTAGAGAAAAAAATGAATAATTCTGTCCAATATTTTATTCTGTTGAAGAAATCTACAAAAAGGTGCTGCTTCCATATGTGATATAGAATATAAATACCATTCCCATCGACTGGATGCCACCAGGATTACAATAAAATAACTTTTATGGTTGCTAGATATCATTGAGTCTGTATAAGATGTGGTATGATTATCAAGTCTGAACTTCCTAGAAAAACTGACAAAAAGTAATTATGACTCCAATTATAATTCTTTATTATTCCAGGGTTGAACAAAATTCGCCACCACAGTCTGGCTTATCTCCTCCTTTTGGTCCTCATCTTCTTGGGAAATATGACAGAGACGATTTTCCATTACGTAAAACAGGTAGGTTCAAGATTAGGTTGTTGTCATGGCATCATGTGAATTTCATTATGTTTCTGTAGATGTTTATTTTATTTTTTTTAAAATTATTTTTTTATACATGCTCACATTTAAACATTACAGCCAATGGAACAAACAAAATAGTCATCCACATCTTTGACATCATGGAGAAGAAACAATATGTTTTTGGGGTCTTTTTAAACAAAAAAAGGGTGATTTGTATTGGGATATCAGACTACCATTACATTGTGAACAAATTATTAGTTTTGTTCCAATTTGTGAGACTGGTTGTATATATGTTAACCTGATAAGCAGCATGGTTTCATTACAACGAGGAGAACTTTATTAGGTTTTACTGGTTAGTACATGTATAATGCAACAATATTGAGTTTTATACACAGAACCAAAACATTTATAAATTTTTATGGCCCCGCAACAAAGTTGTCGGGGCCATATAGTTTTACCCTTGTCCATCATTCCGTCATTCCATCATTCCTTCATTCTGCAACAAACCATTATACGGACTTTTTTTCTAAACGCCTTCAGATATTGGGCTGATTTTTGATGTGTGAGTTAATCATGATGAGTTACAGATCAAGTTAAAGTTTCGTTCCGCTGTGCTAATTTTTGCCGAAATTACAGGCTTTGGACTTTGATAAATTGTTGAAAATCACAGTTATACGGACTTTTTTTCTAAACACCTTCAGATTCTGGGCTGATTTTTGGTATGTGAGTAAACCATGATGAGTTACAGATCAAGTTTAAGTTTTGTTCCGCTCTTCTAATTTTTGCTGAAATTACGGGCTTTGGACTTTGATAAATTGTTGAAAATCACAGTTATCCAGCTTTTTTTTCTAAACACCTTCAGATTCTGGGCTGATTTTTGGTATGTGAGTTAACCATGATGAGTTACAGATCAAGTTTAAGTTTTGTTCTGCTCTGCTAATTTTTGCCGAAATTACGGGCTTTGGACTTGATAAATTGTTGAAAATCACAGTTATACAGACTTTTTTTCTATACGCCTTCAGATATTGGACTGATTTTTGGTATGTGAGTTATCCATGATGAGTTACAGATCAAGTTTAAGTTTCGTTTTGCTCTGCTAATTTTTGCCAAAATTACAGGCTTTGGACTTTGATAAATAGTTGAAAATCACAGTTATACGGACTTTTTTCTATACGCATTTAGATATTGGGCTGATTTTTGGTATGTGAGTTAACCATGGTGAGTTACAGATCAAGTTTAAGTTTCGTTCCGCTCTGCTAATTTTTGTTGAAATTACGGGCTTTAGAGTTTGATAAATTGTTGAAAATCACAGTTGTACAGACTTTTTTTCTATTCGCCTTCAGATTTTGCGCTGATTTTTTATATGTGAGTCTACCATGATGAGTTACAGATCAAGTTTATGTTTCGTTCTGATATGCTGATTTTTGCCGTAATTATGGGTTTTGGACTTTTGGTATGTGAGTTAACCATGATGAGTTACAGTTCAAGTTTAAGTTTCGTTCCGCTCTGCTAATTTTTGTTGAAATTACGGGCTTTGGACTTTGATAAATTGTTGAAAATCACAGTTGTACAGACTTTTTTCTATTCGCCTTCAGATTTTGCGTTGATTTTTTATATGTGAGTCTACCATGATGAGTTACAGATCAAGTTTATGTTTCGTTCTGATATGCTGATTTTCATGTCGTTTCAACACATCTTCAGTGCATCCACTTCCTGTTTGCTGATAGTAGAAATTAATCTACTCAATTTAAGGAAATTTTTCATCAAACCAGTATTGGTCTTGAGAGCTGGATACTATCCATGCATGTTTGTGTCCACATGTGTTGTTGAAATTGCATATTTTTCAACTTTTTGAGACGGGGCCATTTGTGTAGTTCCTACACATCTAGTCAATACTAATAGTATCTAACATCTGTCAGTTTATTCCTTGTTTAATCAGTCCTATTGAGTTTCAACCAACATTGTGGATGTAGGCTAACTAATTTACTTTGTTTTTGCATTGTAAATACTTGATTTCTGTAACAGCTTTAGATTTTATGGTTGCATATATGACATATATTTTTTTTTTAACTAATGGTTTAAGTAAAGAGTCAGTGGTCTGTGTAAAGAATTTGTTTAAATTTAAAATAAAAATTTAAAAAAGTGAATTATCCTGAAAAATAGAAAATCAGATGGCCTGTAACCTAATTTACAAGTCTTTTTCACCATATTAACATTCAAAACAAGATATTGCTGTGCAAATCACCTTCATGTCGCCCTGCTAGCTGTTACATAATGAACTATTAAGTTAAAAAACCCTCTCAGCATGTAGGTCTAGTACAAAGGAGAGTTCATATTCATATCATATCAACATGCTCTCGTCCTGATTTAATTGGTCATTAAAAAGCCAAACATCATGATATCACATTCAGGGTTGTAACAGGTAGAACATGAGGTAAAGACAAAGGCCCTATACAAACTATCACATCCAATACCAGATTCTGTTATATACCCTTTTGTTTTGTTTTTGTTTTCCTTAAATGATGTCATTATTTTTAAAAAAAGAAAAAGAAAAAGAAAGCGTTACATTAGATTTCAATAACCAATTTTTCAAAACAAGAAGCCAAAGCAAATTATTTTGTTGAAGATATTTTAATGTGGGTCTTTGTGAAAAATATAATGTTATGAGTAACAAATGTAATTAATCAGTACACTAACATGTTTGTTTTAAATTTATGTTTTGCATGATGTTCCTGTCATGACAGAATTTAGTAATGGAGACTTCTATTTATAAATTAACATTTTCAAGGAGCTGAAATTAGAAATGTGTATGAATAGTTGTTTTTAATGAGCTAAGTACCCTTATTTGTGTGCTAAATGTGCAAACATTAATTTCAACTGACAATTGAAAAATTATGTTTTTTTATGACCTTGCAAATTATGTTTCAAAAACTTTTGATTAAAATGTACAGTAGGGTGAATCAGTAAGTGTCCTCCATATAATATTAATGTTCAGTACAATATGTTTACATGACATCTGACATGAAATGTGCTAGAATTAGTCTTGTTTATATTTTATGTTGCCCTGAATGCAAAGGCAGTAGGAATTGTATTTCAAGTTTTGCATGCTTCTCAATGTGGGTTTTTATTTGAAATTTTTTAGAATTTCTTCAATAGATTGATTTTTGTGTGTGTTTATATATATAATTAGACTTGCTACTAATTGTCATAAATAATTAATCTGTTGATACATTTTCTTAAACATAAAACATTTCAAAATGCAAAATCGCAGTGACAAAAGCAAGGGAAGATGGAAAAGATAGATCTTTGTATGGAAGAAATAATGTGTCGATAGTTTAGGTAAACTAGGTATGGGAGCATTCCACTAAATTGGATTGCATTCGTTTCCATAGATTTTTACTAGCAGTAAATTAGCAAATAGTGATGCAAAGTGTAATTTATTGGTTGAAGTTCTCCTTTAAATGAAGATAGATGTGCTATTTTATGATACTAAGTTTCTTTCTACAAATACAGAAAAAGCTTTTGATTAATTAAAAAATATTAATGTAGACTGATTTATAAGGAAAAATAGAGTAGATAAGTATGATTTATAATAGATTCTATTTTGTGATGTAGTAAGATAACAGTGACCAGATTTGGTTTTTGATTTCCTGAAAGAAAGTTAAAAGAGTTATTTTCTTTTGTTATTTTTTATCAAGCGGTGTGGGCATTAATGTTTACCCTTGTCCGTCCATACATAGGTCTTAATATTGGTTTTTGTTCTCTAACTTTAGTTTGCCTCTACTAAATATTATGAAATTTATACACAATGCTTATTACCACCAAACAAATTCTAATTGGAGTGGGCATCATTTTCAACGCTTTTACTGTTTGAGCAATCTCTAATGACAACACACAGAAATAAATGTCACATATATAATATGTTTGTTTATATTTTCATCCATTATTAAGGAAACAATGGGGATGTTTTTGTTTTTGGTTCATTTTCCATGTTTAGTTATTTTTGGTAACATCTACTTGAGTTTATGAATCAGTATTTCATCTAAAAGCTTATAGATACTCATCATTGAATATGTCCTCTTGCTTTGTTTATTTCATGCATAACTCTGGATGTGGAAAAACTAAGGACAAAAAGATTTTCAAACAAATGGTATATGTGTTAGTTCTTTAAAAGAAAGTGATGCTTGATAAAGAGGAGTCAATTTTCTTAGAATGCAATATACAAGAAGATGCTGGGCAAGAAGGTTTTAAAGTTTAACAATCATATAAAATTTCACTCCTTTGCATTTATAATTGCTTTAGCTGCCATGTTTTGTTTAGAATTGGCTTGTGATCACTTGTTGTTGTTTTCAGCCTCTGAACCAAACCTTAAGGTGCGGTCGGCCTTGAAGCAGAAATTGGAGAGTCAACGGAGAATAACACACAGTCCAATTCTCCGACGCAAAGATAAAGCTAACTTCCTCAAACGCAAACCACTTTCGAGTAAGTATAAAACGAGGAAACTGGTGCTTAGTACTTGTAAGCTACAGGAAATAAAAGTAGCTAATTACTTCTTAGAAAACTCAATCAGATATTTTTATTTGATGTACAGAGCCAGATCAGAAGAAATTTATTATGAAATTTCTCAGAAAATTGAAGGTATTATGATAAATTTATGACATATATAAAAACTGATAGCTTTTTACTAACAATACATTCTAAAAGCACATAGGGATTAGGAAGTAGGAATTCCTTTTTATTTCCTTGTAGAAATTACACTGCAGAAGGTATAATTATATTGATAAAATAGAAGAGTAGGACAAGACAAAAATCAAAATTAATTATCAGGCTACAAGTTCACAAAGTGAATTTCAATGCCAGACCATAACCGTAATTGATGTTACATATTTGGATGCTGTTTATTTCGTGGTCTTCTGCCTGGAGCAGTTTGCATGGTTTGTGAACAACAAATGTTCTGAAGACATATAGTCTTAGTGAATAGAGTGTTTTGTTGCATTATAGAATGTTTTTTTTCAATGATGTGTGTGGCATGTCCTAACAAAAACTAACAAAAAGCCATTTGGGGAGTTTATCATATAGAAAAAGGGATAAGTATGTAGGGATTTTTACCAACAAATAAATTGAACAGTTGATCCAAATATATTCTTCACTACAAGTTCTTTAATTCCAGAATTTTATTTAGGGTTGTGAATCCAGGTCAACATAATTTGAAGAGATACTATTAACGCCCTTAAACCAAACAGTTTGTTGAAATCAAAAAGTTAACTTGTGCAGTTTAATAAATTTTACTATTTTGATTATGAAATAGTTTCTCTAATTCTCTACTGCTTTACAGCGTCATAAAGAGAAATGATACAGTGCTCAACCCTCACTCCAAAAAGATTTTTTCACAAAAAATTATCTATTTGCTGATGAAATATTATTATGAATGACACTTTTGCGCTATGTTAATAAAGCTGAAGTATTCCGTAAATAACAAATTGAAAATAATAAAATCTGGTAGATATCCTTCATTGAATGGAATAATTATCAGATGGTGAAAGTTACAAGGCCAGTATAGACCCAAAAAATACAATTTTTATTTTTTGCTGAACTATGTTTCAAATTGATTTGTGAAGATGAGTTTCGACAAAATAGAAAAAAAAAGATATCCATTGAAAAAAAAAAGAAGCAAAAGATCACTGGAAGGTGTTTGTGAAAAGTTGTTGATCATAAGTCATATCAAATAGTATCAACAATTGCTTTTTATAAACAATCTCTCTATGTTGATGTTTGGACATGTTTGACCTTGTTGAGAAGCTTTCATTTAACTGGGAATATCCTAAGTTGTCTGTTATAATAGATTCATCAAAAAATATTTCACATCATGCTGCAAATATCATTTAATGTTATTTTTTTTATTTCTTTCAGTTGATTGCAGTAGCAATTCTGATTCTGGACCAAATTCTCCCCCAGCAGGACCTCATGCTCTCCCCAATGGTAGCCTTGCATCACTTCATTCAAAAGAGGTAAGAAATACAGGCCTTATACTCTCCTCAATGGTAGCTATGCATCACTATTATATTTAAAAGAGGGAAGAAAGACAGGCCTCTTGCTGTCTTCAATGGTAGCCATGTATCACTTCATTCAAAAGAGGTAGGAAATTCTCTCCAGATTGACCTCATACTCTCCCAAATGATGGCCTTGAATCAGTTCACTCAAAAGACGTAAAAAATACAGGCCTCTTGCTCTCCCCAATGGTAGTCATGTATCATTTCATTCAAAAGAGGTAGGAAAATCTTTCCAAATTGACCTCATACTCTCCCCAATGATAGCCTTGAATAAGTTCACTAAAAAGACAAAAAATACAGGCCTCATTCTCTCTCCAGTGGTAGCCTTGCATCACTTCACTCAAAAGAGGTAAGTAAAACACTGTTACCTCTCTCATTTTGTCATTGATACAATTGATATCATTTCTTCAAGTAACATATTTATACAGTCAAACAGCACATGTCCCGAAAGCAACACATGTCTTCTGCAAGTATGCTGAAGCTGCTTTTGAATATACGTGCAGGATTATACCCTCACAACTACATTCAATTCTTGACTACAATTTAAGAATAAGCAGGAGATGGGCATATGTTTTCAGTCATTATGAGAACTGTTAACATGTAATTTTGTCCTTGAGTAAAAGTTGCAATCTCTCATACAGTGTACTTATGTACCTTTAGCACCTATACACAAGTGGTGTTACAATAGTATATGTAGCAATCTCATACAGTGTACTTATGTACCTTTAGCACTTATACACAAGTGGTGTTACAATAGTATATGTAGCAATCTCATACAGTGTACTTATGTACCTTTAGCACTTATACACAAGTGGTGTTACAATAGTATATGTAGTAATCTCATACAGTGTACTTATGTACCTTTAGCACTTATACACAAGTGGTGTTACAATAGTATATGTAGCAATCTCATACAGTGTACTTATGTACCTTTAGCACTTATACACAAGTGGTGTTACAATAGTATATGTAGCAATCTCATACAGTGTACTTATGTACCTTTAGCACTTATACACAAGTGGTGTTACAATAGTATATGTAGCAATCTCATACAGTGTACTTATGTACCTTTAGCACTTATACACAAGTGGTGTTACAATAGTATATGTAGCAATCTCATACAGTGTACTTATGTACCTTTAGCACTTATAAACAAGTGGTGTTACAATAGTATATGTAGCAATCTCATACAGTGTACTTATGTACCTTTAGCACTTATACACAAGTGGTGTTACAGTAGTATATGTAGTAACACTGTTAGGGTTAAGTCCATATACACTTATACACAAGTGGTGTTACAATAGTATATGTAGTAACACTGTTAGGGTTAAGTCCGTATACACTTATACACAAGTGGTGTTACAATAGTATATGCAGTAACACTGTTAGGGTTAAGTCCGTATACACTTATACACAAGTGGTGTTACAATAGTATATGTAGTAACACTGTTAGGGTTAAGTCCGTATACACTTATACACAAGTGGTGTTACAATAGTATATGTAGTAACACTGTTAGGGTTAAGTCCGTATACACTTATACACAAGTGGTGTTACAATAGTATATGTAGTAACACTGTTAGGGTTAAGTCCGTATACACTTATACACAAGAGGTGTTACAATAGTGTATGTAGTAACACTGTTAGGGTTAAGTCCGTATACACTTATACACAAGAGGTGTTACAGTAGTATATGTAGTAACACTGTTAGGGTTAAGTCCGTATACACTTATACACAAGTGGTGTTACAATAGTATATGTAGTAACACTGTTAGGGTTAAGTCCATATACACTTATACACAAGTGGTGTTACAATAGTATATGTAGTAACACTGTTAGGGTTAAGTCCGTATACACTTATACACAAGTGGTGTTACAATAGTATATGTAGTAACACTGTTAGGGTTAAGTCCATATACACTTATACACAAGAGGTGTTACAATAGTATATGTAGTAACACTGTTAGGGTTAAGTCCGTATACACTTATACACAAGTGGTGTTACAATAGTATATGTAGTAACACTGTTAAAGTTAAGTCCGTATACACTTATACACAAGTGGTGTTACAATAGTATATGTAGTAACACTGTTAGGGTTAAGTCCATATACACTTATACACAAGAGGTGTTACAATAGTATATGTAGTAACACTGTTAGGGTTAAGTCCATATACACTTATACACAAGTGGTGTTACAATAGTATATGTAGTAACACTGTTAGGGTTAAGTCCATATACACTTATACACAAGTGGTGTTACAATAGTATATGTAGTAACACTTAGGGTTAAGTCCGTATACACTTATACACAAGTGGTGTTACAGTAGTATATGTAGTAACACTGTTAGGGTTAAGTCCATATATACTTTAGAAAGTGATGAAATATATTTCTGTTTTTATGCCCCTGCTGCGGCGGAAGGGGGCATTAAGTTTTATCCTTGTCCGTACTTACGCATGTACGTACGTACATCTGTCTATCTCTACGTTTTAAAATTAGTTTCCGTTCTTTAACTTTAGATTGCCTCAACCTAATGTTATGAAACTTATACACAATGCTTATTACCATCAAACACACATGAATTTTGAATTTGGGTGGCGTTACTTTCACTGTTCTCGAGAAATGGAAAAATTAGCTATAATGTCAAATATTTCAAAAACGGTTCAGATCCCCACTTTTTAAACCACATGTTTTCTGATTTAACATAAAAAGACTTTTTTTCCATGGGTGGGGCTGGGTAACATGGCAGGTCCCCAATCATATCATAAATTGTTAAATAGATTGAAAACAATTAACATTACAGTAGCTGTTATGTAAATCTGTTTTTGTCAGATATCTAAGCTTTCAAACAGGTGAAATAAAAGCTACCTACTGAAGACATTACAGTATTAAAAAGATACTTTAAGAACAGGAATTCTGCTGATAAAATTCCTAGCATATTAGTTTGGAATTGATACCTATTCTTGATATATGTCTCAGTATTAATGATAGGTATTTTTGGCTCTCTGATCTAGAAATAGATCTTTGTTTATCACATCAAATAAGCTACACCTTAAACAAACCTTTGGTTTCAACACATACAACTGAAAAGCAACATATTGCATTTATTTTCTATTGAAGCAGACTCTTACTAATTGAAGATATAGATAATTTCAAATTAATTCTTGGTTTGTATTTTCTACTCCTTTTTTCTGTCAAAAAATGTATGTACATCTGTATAAATCTATTATTATCTATTTTTATCTTAAAATTTTTTTTTTGCATTGTATAACAATTAATTTCAATAGACATGATCTATTTTAGAAACTTGTATCTGATAATATCATCGACCTTACTAAGTTAATCGATTATCAATATAGAAAAAAAATATTTTTAGATAAGTGTCCAACATAGCACAAATTCTTAAGTATTGAATTTTATTTGAAATTCAAAAAAAAAAATGTAAGGCCTGTAGAAAAGTATAAAGAATATTGGTTTTAAAATTTTCAGGTCATTATTTTGTTTATTTGTAAATATTTAGTTGACTACAGAAGAAGGTAGAAGAAGATATTTTATTTCCAATTATGGGCCCCAAAGGGCATAAACATTATAACATCAATAATTTTCATAATACTATACAAACAATGAGATAAAAAAAAAGATTAATGAGAACTATTTAAGTTCTTAAAGAATATGTAGATAAAGAATCTATAATATTTTTTTTATATACTAATGCATTTTAATGCAAGTGTGGTTGATAAACTGTAAATTCAGAAATTATTGCGATGTTTTTATTATTGCGAAAAATGCGACAGGGTTATAATCGCAATAATTTAAACTGGCATTTTGAAATTTTTATATGAATTAAACAGGATTTTTCTCAATATCGCAAAAATTAAAATCGCATTTTAGTCTAAAATGACAAAATCGCAATAATAAATGCACGCAATAATTTCTGAATTTACAGTAGATAACAAACAAACAGCCATGTAACAGGACAGTTGAAGGACCACATTGGTTTATTTGTTAAACAGTTTGTCATTAAAACTCTCTTAGATGTCCATGGTATGAAAACATAAGATAAAACAACGAGGTTTAATTTTCTTCAAATGAGATTAGTTATAGAGTGATACATGTAGGAAGTAATTTAATTTATGAAATACCACTACTCATGCCACAAGATCATTCTTACAAATTATATGTAATTAAGTCTGATAAGACTTGTTTATTTTTACTAGGAGGTGAAATCCGAGGTTTTATTTCTTATTATCCATAAAAGGTCCTTAAAAATAGTCAATATATGTTAAGCTTTAGAAAAAAAATAAAAACCATTTGCAGTGATGACATGACTGTAGATGATATTTTTAATAATAACTTGAAATTCTAAAGTGTGCTTTATTAATGTGTTACAAGTAGCCTATATTGAGCCTCTGTAAGTGAAGGTGATTACATACAACTTAGAACATCCTTCTTTAAAGAAAAGCCTTGATTAGAAGAAGGATTCTTACTGAAAATAGATCTGTAATATGATTATAAGCTTAGAGTAATGGATGGATCAATGTAGAAATAGTCTGCTTACATTTAAATCAGGAAAGATTGATTCAGGTTTTATTTTTATTTCTAATCTTGATGTCAACTTAGTTTTTGAAGTTCTAAATAGAAAACAGAATATAGATTTACAAGGTTGCTTTAGTATTAACAGATCCAATTTTAGACCTAATAGAACTGAATTTTTTTCAATAATAAAATGGTATGAAGGTCGTTGTAATTCTGCACTTTGTTGTGAGGTGAATGTGTCTTCATGAAATATTAATACACTATTCTTTGACACAAGACCATGGTTGCTATTAGTTTTGGAATTTCTGGTTTTTATACGACCGCAAAAAATTTTTTGGGATCGTATAATGGTATGATATGTCGTCTTCGTCATCGTCCGAAGACACATTGGTTTCCGGACAATAACTTTAGTTTAAGTGAATGGA